GTTCAGGGTTTTGGGTTTCGGGTTCAGGGTTCAGGGTTCAGGGATCAGGGTTTAGGGTTTAGGGTTTAGGGTTCAGCGTCTAGTGTTTAGGGAAAGTAAGGCTTCGTCTGAAGAAAATTGTTGTGCCACAGCAGCAACAGCGACAATAGAGGCAACAAGAACAAGAACCGACAAAATGATAAGAACAAGAGCAACAGCAAGAGCAAGGGCCAGAGCAAGAGTAAGAGCAACAACAATATCAACAAAAAGGAAAATAACGGTAACAAGAACCACAACATCAACAATAAGAGCAACAACGACAACAACAACAACAGCAAGAGCAAGCAACTGCAACTACAACTTCAGACTCTGGAGTCTGGGATTCGAATCAGCAGTTTGGGATGTAGGGACCGTAGGGTTCAATTTTCGAGTGTCGAAATCCGCGTGCATCTGTGGCCGAACGAGCTCTGAGAGCTGAGGACTTGCAGCCTAAACTATCATGTTTGAGGCTTGATGCGCGGGTTTAGGGTTTAGGGTATAGGGTTTCGGGTTTAGGGTTTAGGGTTTAGGGCCGCAGCCGTCTTAACTAGTTGTGTCTAGTCGTGAGTCTCTGAGGAGTGTTGTTGCTCTCCGGGCTGCGTTGTCGCGGTTACTACAGGCAAGAGTGCACGAAGACAGGGTATTTGGGGAGGACGCAGGACACAGGATTCGGGCTTTTTCTACCCTAAACCCTAAACCCGATACCCTCAAGTCTGAGAACCAGATGCAAACCCTTGCTCAGGCTGCCAGACAGCATGGCCATTTCAGACAGACGCCTGCAAAGAGAAAGCTCTCGTAATAATGCTCCTAGTACACCCTAAACCCAATCTGAACCCTACATCCTAAACCCTGCTGTTCCCAGTTTGCATCTACCGAAGCTCCTGCAAAATTGGATCGTGCCCGAGGCCGGATGACCTTGACCCCAACATCCGGCTGAACAGTGTGCTGGAGCCACGCGCACGTTGATCTGGTTTACGGCTTAGGTGGAGGGTCACGAAGCTGAAGCCTAGACTCAACACCACCTGATGCCCTGAACCTGAATGTATAAACCCGCAAAGAACCTACAGCCCAAAACCTCAAAAACCTAAGCATAAAACTGTAGGGCCTGAACCCCGACCCGTCAGAATGATAGTTAGCCCTTATCCTAAAAGCTCCAACAACAACATCACCATCATCACCATCATCACCACCATCACCACCGTCATCACCATCACCGTCATCATCACAATCATCACCACCTTCATCATCAGATGATGATGATCATCATCACCACAATCATCATCTTCATCTTATCATCTGCTACTACTATCACTACTACTACT